CCACCTGCCTCTGCTGCTCTGGTTTGCCACTGAGGGCCGGGCCGGCTGGGAAAGGTATCGGCTGCTTATCCCACTGTCTCCYGGACTATAATGTTTTCAGATAAGCCATTCTTTAGAGAAAGGCCRTCCTTTGTTGTCTTAACTTTGAGGGATGTTTCCTCTGGTGACCGCCTTCCCCACAACAGAGCTGTTGTTTTTAAGGCTGTCCTGGGAAGCCCAGCGTGTGGGGGGTTCGGGGTGACCTCGTGATGTGGTGACGTCCAGCGTCTTTGCCACACGATTGTTCCACACCGGGCTCTAGGTATTTCTTTCCTTTTCAGACAGGGAGCTGCTGAGTTTGAAAATACCAGGAATTTCAATGTGCTCCTCAGCTTCCCTGCAGTTCTGATTTCAGTGGAGATAACATAATCTGTCTCCAGTCGATTTGCAACAATGCAAGGTCACTGAAATCATCTCCTGTAGGCTGCCTGCCAAAGATAAAGAAACACCCTCGTCCAGTCGTGTTTGTTCAGCTCTTAGTGCATGGAAAACGCTGCGGGCAAGCTGAGCAGCAGTGCTGCCTGCTCCTGTTATACGTTGTCATTTCTTGCATGACATACGCAGGAAATATCAAGACAACGGGGTTAAACATCCTGATGTGATAGTTGTGGTGATTAAAAAAATATTAAAAAGGGGTCTTGCAAAGGATTTAGTAAAAATCTTGAGTGCCCTTTTTAGTGACTACTCATAAATTGATGGGGTAGATCGAGTGCATCATCTCTTCCCTGTCCCTGGCCTCCATTAACCTTGCCTCCCATGGGGATGACTTTCCATCCCCRGCCTGGCCCTCTCCTCCCTGCTGCCCTTTGCACGGTCTTAAACGGTTAAACGTGGAAAGCACTTAGTGCTTATGGGAGAGATGCTCCGGGGCCCTGCCACGCAGGGCGCTTCCTCACCTGGAGAATGAAATCTAAGGATAAAGACTCTCCTTAAGAAGGATATTAAGTTTCAGTCAGATTGTGTCCATGTGCTGGTGAGTATTGCCTTGTTTCCTGATAAGTTATGCCCATTAATTTTAATATCATTGCCTCAACTGTACAGGAGAGTTTTTTTTTTTTTTTTAATTGGTCTGAAGATGGACTGTGTAAAATGCGCTCGGATGTGTTTCATCAGTTGAGTTTTCCTGTGTTCACAAATTATTGTCCTTGCAGAATGTCAGCGGGTTGAATGCCCCCTGCTTGGCATGTGGCCTGCAGAAGAGAGGAGGGATCTGTTTATTGGGAGGAATAACCCCCACATACATTGCTGTCTTTTCCAGGCTCTGACATTGCCAGTGTTATAGGCAGTGGTTGCCTTTACACAGAGCTGCTCCGGTGTTCCGTGTGTATTTGCATGCAGTGCTCCATCTCATGCAGTACACAGTATTTAGTTGGCTAGTTTGCATATTTATAACACTCTTAAAAAATTCTTTAGCTTTATTGCTGATGAAAGGGATCCATTTAACACCCTGAGTGTGAAAGTTTTATTGCTGTGGTGCTATACTTGATAAGAGATTTCTCTGGAGATATCCTGCCGCTCAGCACTAAGCTGGAGCTTGCAGTGCCCTCTGCTAGTTTGCTCCTAACAATACATGTCCCGGCATCTCCATCATAACAGGAAACCTATATTTGCACTGCCCCAAAGAGGGGCAGGGGCAGAGCTGGAGCTTCCCAAGGGGCAGGGGCAGATCGGGAGCTTCCCAAGGACCGTGTGRAGGGTGGCGCTGGGGAAGTGGAGTCAGCTGGCCCAGCCACCGTGCTCCCTGCGGGAGCTGGCTCCTCACGGAGGCCCGGAGCAGCTCCAGGGAGAGGCTGGCAGGAACGTGTCGTGTGGTGCCCTGCAGCCCCTCAAGCCCAGCACGCTGAGACGCAGAAATGAACAGCCAGGCCTGGGAGCACCTGTGTTTTCAGCAAGGTGACTCCAGAGACGCTAGCAGCCACCTGGGCGCAGGTGTGACAGGCRGGCTGGTGTCACAGCAGCGTCAGGCGCTGCCTCCTGCAGCAGCCGCTGCCTTTGCTCGGAGCGTCGTGCTCTGCCCCGGGGCCTTGCGGTGCACTGGTAGTTACAGGAGACCGTGTGAGACCCAAGGGGCTGCGACTCCTGGCCAGCTCCTGGCACCGCGGCTTTCTGGCTGTCATTTGGATTCTCTTTTTTCCTATTTCTTTTYTTTTTTTCCCCACAAAGAGAATGAGTAATAGGGCTAAAATTCCCCCTTGAAATGTTTTGTTTTTAGAGTCCAAGTCATTCCATTTATTTTATTTATTTGTTGTATCTTTACCTTTTGGACCCCGTTTTGTGATCTGAATGCAGCAGAGGAATAAAAACAGCTCAGTAGTGGCAGAGGACTCTTCAGCAACAGCTGATGTCTGCCTAGTGGGGTCATCTGTGTGGACAAGCTGGTTGCAGAACCTTGTTGCATTTTGTAAATAGAACATGAGATTTGTAAATAGATTTATGTAACTTGCCTTGTAGGTAAGTGTATAATTTTGAAGTAGCGTGAGTGTAAAACTAACTATAGCAATATCTTGTTGCTGCCCTGGAACAGAATTGTCGTTGCTTTATGCAAAAATATGTAGTTTTTATAAGCATAATACAGAATGTTGTCTTTTAAGACTCTTGCATGGAATGCAGCTGTTTTAATTTTTAAATGAGCACATCTCTGATGAGGCTGGTACAGTGGTGCTAAAGCTTTTATAGCATCACTAAGAGGAAATCTGAAAACATGCAATTGGAAGAACCAATGTTAGCTGATTAGGGATGTGGCAGTCGCTATGAAATTACTCGCTCCTTTAGCAACTCTGAGGAGGTGCTTAGAAGAAAAGACACTAATTAGCTACCGGGACTAGTGTCCTGAAAATGGGGATCTGAGATGATAACCAAATATAGAGTTTCCTATTCTGGCCTTCAGCCTTCTCTGAGAGGGAAAAGGAGTTACCAGCTTTGCATGAAAAATGAGGAGATGTACCCTGATAGCCTGAATTAGCATGATGAATCTGATGGAACTGAGTATTTCCAGAGCAGCCCAGGTTAGCAATTACATTAATTACAGCTTGTCTGAAGCTGSTGCTGTTTAACTGATGAACGGGAAGATGGCGTTGAAATGATGCTCTGTGAAGTCTTAGTTCAGCTGTAAATGCAGGAACATGTATTTTGGTTATCAGAAAAGGTGTGGTTGAAAACCACATTTAGAGGCTAGTACCATATGCCAGTGCATTTTAGTGTTACCCAAAACTCAGTATTGTTCTGCACCAGGAAAGAGCTGCTGTCAGAGCACCCCAGGCTCCCCCAGTTCAGTSTCTAAATCTCCCAGGTACAACTTCACACCAGTAAGTACTGAGGTATAACTTGAGACCCAGCTGTGTTGGCTTCTCTTGGGCTTGGGATGTTAATTATCAGCGTAATTATAGTGAGGGTGATAGTTATCAGAGCAACCCCTGCAAGGGGAATTGGCTGTTGAGCTTGGGTCTTTCTTAAGTTTCAGGGTTGGCGCTTGTGTGCTTGCTTGCTTATGTCAGAGTACTGCTAAGTGGGTTATTGGGATATATACCACTAATTTTTCAATTTAAGAGCCGAATATTAAATATCCACACTGCTGGAAGACTCGGCTACACTGATACTATAAAGCTGCATGCTCTTATAGCCATGCTGAAATCCATTCTGCCAAGGTTTTTCAGTAAGAAGCCTTAATCTTAACATTTTCCTCTAGCTAACTCTGTTTCGTATTTCTAAAGTAAAGCAAAAGAGGTTATTTCAGGTCATAAGATCTTAAATTCTTGCATTTCTTTTTTTGTTGTTTTTTGAAGTACAGGTTGGTATTTTGTTAGAAGTGCGTGTGTAGATTATCATATTGCTTGCAGTCTCCCCGTTCCCTTCCCAAGATTTATTAAAAAAAAAGAAGTGCAGGARGAAGGGGCTGCCAACGCTTTGCAGTCATCCTGGAGGCTTGTGGGTAAAGTTGATTCATCAAATAGCCTCTATTTAAATATCTTTTTCRTGCTTGAGTGGTGAATAAAAACAGGATTAACTCCAGAAGAAAAGACATAATATGCTGTCAAAAACTGTGTTAATTTTAAAGGATTTTATTTACAAGTAAGAAAAAATTTTAAACATCTGCTTTTAATAATAGGCTCCCTTTAAAAGCACAAAATTCCCCCAACGAAGAATATTCAACCAAGTTGCATTTTAGCTGGAGACTGCTGCTTGGCAGGGCACTCATTGCCACGGAGGCTAAATATCGCAAAGAGAAACATCTTTTTGCTGATGTAACTGATGCTCTGGAGTCCCATGCTCTGTAAGAGGAGAGAGCCCAGCTTGCTGGGTGTGCATGCATACCAGTGAGCACCCCAGGCTCCCTTTGCCTCAGCACTGCTCAAGGRGCATATGAATATGAATTCAGACCTTGCCAAGGTTGTGCAGAAATCCTGTGCTGGTAAATAGGCAGCCACAGTGACAGGCAAGGAGAAGGCCGCGGTCTCCTGAGGAGAGYGGGATACAGGGCTCGGCCACGTGCAGGTTTCATTCCAGATGCTCTTTGGAAGGTTGGGCTCCCTTGTCACTCCAGAGAAGACATGCATACAGTTCTCACTCCTTTCCAGAATCTTTTTCTTTTTAATTCTGTCATCTTATAGGATARGGAGAGGTTACAAATCCTCTCTTTTCTTGTTAAATGCAACTTGGAGGCTTGGCAGATGGAATAGGYCAGGTCCTGAAAATACTGAAAGAAAGGAGGAATCAGCATATTAGATGAAAGTATTCTCTTATTCATCCAGCTGACAAGGATGGGCAGAACAATCTAGTGCATTATGTTGGGAAAAGCTGCCAATCGCTTAGTCCTTGGGAGTTATGGAGATATGGAGCCAGTGCTGTATTTTAGGTTGCATTTTTGTTTCAGCTTTCTGTGCTAAGGGTGTGGACRATCCTTCAGAGAAGCCTGGGCCTAGTGCTGGTACTGATATTTATTTCTTCTTTTTCTTTTACTCCAGACCAATGAGTGGAATAAGAATGACGACCGGCTGCTGCAGGCGGTGGAGAACGGCGATCCCGAGAAAGTGGCTTCGCTGCTGGGCAAAAAGGGAGCCAATGCCACCAAACACGATAGCGAGGGCAAAACTGCGTAAGTCCGTCGTTAAACTTGGGAACTGAGCCCAAGTGAGCAAAGAAAYAGCATGGGCTGTACACGTCCCTTGCAGGAACCAGACCCAGAATAGATCAGTGTGAAATGCAGCTTCCTTTTCACCTGAAGCACAGGACATTCTGGAAGGCTTCTGTCTGAGGGTCTGTATTTGTAATCCCTCATATAGAATTCCATTTCAGAATCGTGAATCCATTGAGGTGGCTTGAAGTTGGATTGCTGGGCTGATCGGTGTCCTTTTYGGACAAGTTATTTGGGGACTTAGTAATTTCATATCACACTGCAGATTGAAAACTCTGAAAAAGCATTAATATTGGAGCTATATTTTCCCATGGACATCAGTTTAATGACATAGAACTGAAGATAAATTTTCTTTTAAATAGATTAATTTGCACTGAAACTATGGTGATTGAATTTTAAAATCTTGCACATGCTAATGATTCTTGGGACTGTTCCTTGCTTTGATTGGAATTTGGCAGCRAAAGAATTTTGTATGAAAGGGACTCCATTTGCAGTCTGAATATGTGTCTCAAATATAGCAGTTTCCTCTTCTAGTCTTCCTTTTCTATTATCCTGTGAACTTCTGACTTGCGGAGGAAATTGAAGTTTCCAGTAAGAAAATTACAACTAATGAATGCTGTCCTTTAACGTCTTGTCTCTTTTTTGCAGAATGGAGAGATGATTAAGTRGTTAAGTTAGACATTCCTTGGAAAAACCAGGGCCTTTATAAAACTGTGGATAGATGGCGAGAAAGGAAAATAGTTCCTATACTGGGAGAAGCAGCACAAGGCAGTTTATACCAAATAACGAGTTGTAATGAATTACCTCTGGGTTGTATTTATTATTGTCACGCTCTGCKTCTTGCTTGGTCTGTTTTGGTTCCCTCCATCTGCTCTATTTCTGTTTTGCATCTGAGGCAATTGAATGACGGCAGTGACTCATACTGACCTGCAACTTCTTACTGCCCAAGTCCAAGTCCTCTAATTACTTCAAGTGGGCTTTCTCCATGCTTTAATATGGTTTTAATTTTAAAAAGCTGCATGTGCATGTTTTTCTTTTGAAATGGAGAAGGGACATAATTAAAGCATGACTTCTATTGAATCTTCTGAATTACAGCTATGTCTAGCTTCTCACGTTTTTATACTCAAAATAATTTCAGAGCTTGATTCTTCAGCTCTGTGATACCCAGTGTAGCTCCTGTTTTGCAAGTTTCATATGTAATTGGGCATCACAGATTTGTCTAGGGRATGAGTAAAGATTGGAATTTTCTATAAAAATACACAAGCTTTTTGATTTTTAAGGAATGAGATTGTTGTTACTCTAGGGATCTGGTGCGATGTTTCTCAGCCTTTGAGGGCTACACTACAAAGTTTCCTTGTATCTGCAAATAAAAACAAGATTTGATCATGACATCTGTCACAGATATGGTTACTTTTTAATTGCTTGGAGCAAATATGTATTACTGCTATGAAGAGCTCTAATTTTGCTAGTTCAGTATGCTCATTTGATTACCATTTAATTATAAACTATTTCTTCACAGTGGTTTCAAAAAAAGCTTGAAAAAAGCACTCAAATGAAGAAAAATAACATTTCTGAGATGCAGAAAGACAATGAGTCAACTGATTCAGTTCCTAGTGCCTTGTGAAATTTTGCAGACCTGCTCAGGTTATTTCTTTTCCAGGTTTAGAAGATAGAGACTGACAGGTGTAGGAACCATGACACTGATCTGGGGAGACACATGTACCAAGGACCATCATGACCCAGAAACGTACTCTGGTGTGCTTTATTCCTATCAGGCAGCTATCTTGTTTGCGTTTTTCCCACTTGAGAGTCCTTCCTTCTTTTTTTTTCAGTGTCTGTGGATGTGTCTGATGCCTCTGTGTGTTCATATAAACTGCATAGACACGCACATACACTCACTGGCTCCAAAGCCAAAATACATGCTCTTGACTGCCAAGTGAGGTGCAGCCACCAGTCCATAGCACCCGGGCTCATTTCTCCTCCATTCCAAGGGCAGGAGGGACACAGGGACACATGGAGCCATCCATTGATCCTGGTGGGCATGGGCTGATGCACTGGTTTGCATCATCAGGCTGAAGGTGACCCAAGAGCAGAATGGATTCAATTATATAACGCCTTGCCTAGCAGGATTAAATACTTTGCTGTGGTGGAATGTGCTTGAAAGCACAAAAGGAGAAACAAATATTRCAGTTGTGTTTGGCCTGTCACTCTCCTTTCCCTCAAGGTGTGATGTGTTTCTACTAAAAGCTTTTGTTTTCATTCCTTTTACAAGTAARCCACCCACAACAACAAAAGGTCTGGTAGTGCTCCGACCTTTTTTTTTCAAGCAAAGTATTTGATGTAGTATCCTGACTTAAACAAGGGGTGTAGAGGACTGTAACTTTTCCTGCCCACGGGAGTTTTTAGGCTTTTATTTTGTTTTATGTTTAAATGGCGTCTTAATGTAAAGTGTCTAAAATGTTTGAACTGAGAAGAATGGAGATCAGAAGCCTCTCACCTATTGAATTAAATCTGCCAGTGTGCTCTAGGTCTGGTTCAATTTTGGATGTAATTCCTAAATTTTGCCTATATCCTCTCTTGGCTCTTTCTTATGGATCCATTTCTTTATGGCTTGCTTTTGTGGGATGAAACATAGATACTTAAACTAATGAACTGCTAGGTGCTAATAAATTCCCTGCGGTAATATTTCCAAATTTTCATTAGGGATTGTAAGTCTTCAGTACCTTAAAAAAAATGTCAAACTAATGAAGCTGGGTTTTTAAAGACTTGCCTGACATTCCCCACCACCACCCTGCCTCTGACTCAGTCCTTTCTCTAAACAATAAATCAGTTTTAAGGCTGTGGAGCAAATCCACCCTTGGCATAAGTTGACACAGCCCCATTGTTGCTCCCTCTTACACTAGACAAACTGCTGCCAAGCACATTTGTAACAGAACCTATCTGGAAATCTGACTCTGCCATTGTAGTCCTATTCTGCCAGATAGTTTTTTTTGTCTAGCTTCCTTAAACAACAAAACAATTCTTTCCAATTTGGAAGTTGATCATTTAAATCCCACTTAAACTAATAAAAAAAGGCTTTTGAAAGAGGGCCTTTTCACTAGGGGATAGAATTCATTCATTGCTGCTCTTTCCACAAGAGCAAGTGTTCAAATGGGTTGTTATTTAAAGAAGCTGCAGCTATTCTTGAAAAAAATATTTGGAAATGATTCATAGTGTATAAATGGCAGCACTTTCTTGTCCTAAAGTTATTTTGTCTGCACGCCAGTGCATCGCTGCCATGTTTGCATGTTTCTACAAGGTACTGAACAAGAATTAAAKGCTTATGGCTATTACATGAAACAATAGGGCCCTGTGAATTTTTTAACTGCAATTGCATCAGCTGTTGTTTAATAAAATGAGCYTGACAATGGCACAAAAAAAGCTTTAGAAACCTCCACAAACGCACTTTTTCAAGGACTCTTTCACAAAGCTATTGTCAACGTCCCTCAGTAAGGATGAGATAATTTCATTTGAACCGAATGTTCGTGCCTCCAAGGCTAAGCTGCAAATAAATTTTTGGAGCATATTCCTATCCTATATCTTATATGTTTATCTTGTACATAGTTCTTTTGTGTTKGTCTTGTACATAGTATTCCTTTTCTTTGCCTCACTTCGGGTTTTATTCTGTAAGTGCCATGAAGGACACCACTGTTTGAAAAGTAAGTCAGGATTTAAATACCTTTTGAGAGGGAGCCTTTCCTTTAAACTAACCTARAAGGGAGCTTTTGAGTGAATATGTAGACTTATCACTGTTCTAGTTGAGAAAAGCACAGAAAATAGCTTAGATAGAAGTGACATGGAATTGAGAGAAATATTTTCTCAGGGAGACTGGTTCCTAGGAATTCAAAAATTGCAACACCCTCCCCTCGTCACTTCTGAGATACTATAAATAGAGCCTCGAGAAGACCTTTGCAATCCAGGCAGTCTCCTCATGGCTGTCTTGTGTGTGTGCTGAAAATACTCAGTCTGACACCGTGCTTTCCAAGATGTATCTTGCCCAGCCTTTTTTATCATCTCTTAAATGTATTCAAATACTTTAGTGGAAAATGACCTCAATTTCTGAAAAATTTGTCAGAATGGGTTTACTGAAGAAAGAAAGGTTTACTGCTCAGGATTTGAGGATTATCATTTCTGCTGGAGTGGAATCTGTAGATGTTCCAGTGACCCAAAATTATCCGCAGTGTAATTTTTGATTTACTTTTATCATAATTAAGTTAAAATAGCCCAGATGGTAACATCAATGTCTAGATTTCTCAGTATGCACAACATAAAGAAGACAACAGTGATCTGCACCTGTACTTTATATCTAGTCAAGAGATAGCTGAAATCTATGTTTTACTCCTACCTTACTTATAAGTTAAGTTTCTTGGGAGGCTTGGATATGAAAGCTTTTGTATCCTTAAAACTTTCCTGAAGTTTTCAGATCTGTATTGTCCCTTTTCCCTCCTCTTCCCTGAAGGATTGAATTCAGTCAAGCTGTTGATACTAAATTTCCTGAAATGTTACTTTCCGCTTTAGTTTAACTCTTAGAAAAGCTAATGAAATATCTGAGCGAGGTTGGATAAAACCATCCTCTGCCAGGATGGAAAATCAGACTAATTAACTGTTACATGCAGCATAAGCAAACTGTTAATACAAGAGGAAAGGGGAAATGTACATATCTTCATGAAAGAGCTATATTTAACTCTCATTTTATAATTTGGTGATACATGAAAAATTCCTTGTTCTGTACAAACATTACTGTATTGACCATCATACCTTGTGCAAAGCTTTTAAATGAGAGTCAAAGAGTAGACTTCATGCAAGTGGTTTGTTCCTGCCTCTTGACTGCAGCAATATAAAGACCATTTGCTCAGAGCTGGAGTATATGAGCCCTCGCTGAGACTTTAGGACATGCTATGGSATAGATTTTAGTTTCTAGT